GAATATTACCATTTCAAGGAACATCTGTAAAGGCATTCAGAAACTTCTGGAGTCCTCGCACATCCATGAGCTCAGCAAGGTACACATTCTGACCATCATACGTTTGCTTTCTGACGTGTTTTTGGGAATGTATAGGAATAAACGTCAGGCATTTTGCCTCAAGGTGACCTCAGGGCACTGTACCAATTTCTGGACTTGTCAAGAGTTGTTTTTTTATATGCTATGTAAATTTTGTAAACTTCTGTAATTTATGTAAGCAGCTTGGAGGGTGACTGCAGTTTATTTTATGAAACCAGAGGAAGATGCAGAATAAATTAAGCTGGCTTGCAAAGAGGAGGTGTATGGCGATTTTACAACCTCAGTTGCTGTTATGTGTTGTCACAATTTCCAGTCCCAGTCAGTTTGTATCTTCATTTTAACATATGTAAATTTCATAAACCTACGTAAGCTTCGTAAGCAGTGGGGGCCTTAAAGTATCTACACCCTTTTCCAAAATCCCACTAAAAAGCCTTATAAATGGGAATTTAAAATATTGTCAGATCTTTAAACAAGTGTTTTAGCATAAATTTAACTAAAATAGCCAGATTTCAGGAAAAAAACTCACCTTGTCCTGTCTTGTAAAGCACTTTGTTAAATAGTTAGGAAATGTGTTTTTTGATGGATTTAAAATGTGGGATAAGCTTTAGTTAAGCAGAGAACCCAAAGGCCTAAATAGACTTAGTGAAAATTCACTCAAATTATTGATACTTTTTTTACAGTCTGGAGTTTCACCAGAAGAAACAGATGTCAATTCTTACACAAATATCTAATATTAACTGTGTTTGTCAGGATGTGGTTGCTTTGGTGGATCCCAGTGAAAAAATATTCCATGGGGTCGAGTCATCTGATTTTCATTCACAAGTAAGTACAACATAGTATTTTGAAAAGTTATATTATTTCAGTCAGGCTGCAGCAACATTGATGCATTATTTCACATATTCTCTCTCTGCATGAGGCTTTAGCTTCTTTACTGTTAATGCACTCACCACAGGTCTTGCTCTCATAAAGTTATTTTTCTGACTGAATCTCAAACAAAGCATAGAAATGTTATCGGTCTGCATCTGTCTTTTCAGCTCCTCTAGTTTAGCAAGCTGCATCACTGAAGAACCTTGTAAACTAAGCATACAAAATTGCTATTCCCTTCTAAAAAAAACTATTTCTTTTCTCCTTCAAAAAAATGCAGCAGTTGACATCCACTTTTCAGTCACCTTATTGTATTTTGTTGGGCTTCTTGAGCGCACGTGTTGCTTTCACTGGCCCAGATTCCAAGTATAAATTCATGTAGACACGAGGTTGACTATTGATTACATTCATTTGTCGAACATCTTTGTTTTTGTTTTTTTGTTTGTTTGTTTTTTTTCCAGGATCTTGAAAGCAAGACTTTGGAATTTGAGAAAAAAATAAATGAACTAAAAGCAGAAAACAAACCATACAGCCATGTTTTAAGACAAGCCATATGGTTCCTGAGTTCCAAGAAGGTAGGATTTCTTTGGGAGTTATTGGTCTCATTTGACTTTTGTTTTTGTTTTTTTTGACAGTAGATGCTTTGTCTATGCATATTTTTTCCTGAGGGTTTTGTTGTCTGTTCAGGACCTGCAGAACGCCCTTGAGCTGAAGCTGCAGCACCAAAAGGAGATGACACCCGCGGCTTACTCTATTCTCATCAGCATGTGCTGTCACCACAACAATGTGGAGGAGGCGCTCGACCTGAAGAGGGAGTTGTGAGTGCAGCAGGAAACACACACACATGCACACTCGCTCACTCGGCTGCACTGCGGCCAGTGGTAGGCCATTAAAGTTTAACTTGAGTGGTATTAGGGGAGACATTAATGCAGGGTCCAGCCGCTCTGGTGTCTACCTGAAACACAGGAAACTCTCCCCTTTTCTTCCCTTATTTCCTCCTCGTCTTTCACCAGCGGCTTACAGCATCTGACTGAACTTTAAAAACATAAAACAAATGCACTGCATTACTGTAAGTAGAATACATTAAACAAAGCTCGCGCCCTTTTCTGTCCCTGCTTTTAGGAGCTGTATGGACTCATCTTATGCACTGGATGCCAGTAAAAGCATCACACTGGTCAAGACACTAATACAGAATGGCAAAATTGAAGGTAAGTTCTCATTTGTCCGGGAGATTTTTCTTTTACAACTACAGTCTATCATAATTTCTGGGATATGACCTTACTCAGAGGAAAAAAGCGATGATTATTTGTCTATTAAGGTTATTAGAGATGTTGATAGACATTTTAGCTTAAAAACAAAGTTAAATCAGTAAAAGCTGCAGTTCCTTCAATGGCAACATTGAGCCCGCTCCAAAAGTGAGTCAATCCCTTTTTGTCCCCCACATTAAAAAAAAATAAAATTTCCACCAAAAATTGAACACCTCTAGTCTAAAAAGTTTGTGTAGGAAAGGGTGTACCTTTTGAGTGCCATGTAATAAATAATGTCATTTGCTAAATGAGCCTTGATTGAGACATTGAGACTTGAATATTCCCCAAATTCTCAAAAGACCACAATAATGACATCCAAATGAAAAAAAGAAGGAAAAAAAACCCATAAACCTAACACAAAACAGTGGACTCAGTCATTTTTACATCACCTGCTATTGATTAAGCTGACATAGCTTTTAAAAACTGCTCTTAGCTGTCAGTGTTTTGGGTTTTTCTAGTCAGATGTGATGAAAGTGATTAATCTGATGGCTATTGTCACTTTCATGTGATCCTTAATTTATGTATCAACTCCAGTAATGTAAACCATCCCTGGTAGTTCATGCCATCACCTCCTCATTGAGCTGAGTCGAGAAGATCGAGACTTATTCTTTGAAATATGAATTTAATAATATAAAAAATGGATTTCCTGTGATGTCTTTATTTATTCCATGTGTGGAAATTAAGCCACAGCTCTGTCAATTTCCACCATTTTTCATTTATCTTGTTTATCCTACATGTTTAGCAAAAAGTAAATTTACAAACCAAACATTTTCCAGCAACATATATTCAAACGGCTCTGTAGTATTTCTGCTTAAAACATTAATTATATTAAAGGATATTTAATCCTTGTGTCCTGAAATGAATTAACTGCACCCATCCAGACGTATTTCCCTTCTCTTTTCTTGTCCAGTAGATCATGATATAAACCCATTTTGAATGTGTGTGTTTCAGCTTTTGTGTGTATGTGACCAAGTCTGTCACAATCCCTCTCGCTTCCCAAAACCATATTAGCGTGCCATTTTCAGAATTCTACGGTGGGTTTCCTTCTGCCCATCGAAGACCCAATTACTATCAGTTTTGCTGCTCCGCTTTTTTTGCATTCAGTGACAGGCGAAATGTTTCCCTTGTCTGTTCTCGCCTTTCCTCTCATCCCCTCATCACTCGCTCTCCGTTTCTGCCTCTGTCTCTCTATCTGACCCTCTTTCCCCATCTTTCTCAAAGTGTGTCATTCTCTTGACACACACACACACACACACACACACACACACACACACACACACACACACACACACACACACACACACACA